CCTAATACCCTTACGTAGTGTGTGTGTGTGTGTGTGTGTGTGTGTGTGTGTGTGTGTAAGAGCTTTCAAGCCCTATCTAAGAGACCCCCTTAATGAACTTCCAAGCTTTGGTGGTGTCATTTAAATGTTAATATTATTGAATGCACCACTCTAAATCAAACACTGATTGGGAGCCAACACACTTAGGCCAAGATATTTAAAGGTGCTTAGGCTGAGTGGAGCAATGCCTAAGTGACAATCCCATTGACTTTCAGTAAGATTTAGGCTCCTACATACCTAAGTCACTTTTCAAAGTGTGACTTAGCCATGTAAGTCACTTATGGTCAGATCCACACAGGTATTTAGGTAACTGCCTTTCTGGGTGCTTATGCCTGCCACTGCCTGTAGGCACCTTGATTTTTTGCTTGTCAGCATTCGCAAAGCCCCCTAAGCATTGATGCCGCCCCACAGCTAGTGAGCCCTTACTGAAGAAGAGGCCCCAAGTAGGATTCTCAAAGTGGATGGGGGAATCAGGGCTGGCATTATGACATGGAATGCAGGGCAATTGCCCAGGGCCCCACACCAGAGGGGGCCCCCACAAAACTAAGTTACGAGTGGGGGAGAGGGGCTTGGGCTCAGGCTTCAGCCCCAGACGGTGAGGCTCCAGCTTCGGCAGGGTGGGGACCCACTCCTTAGTTTCTGCCTTGGGCCCCAGTGAGTCCCAATGCCAGCCCTGGGGGGAATGCCTATCTTGTCAGCAGGGACTGATTCTTAAAGCATGCTCAGAGCATGCTTAAAGCATTGAGAGAAAGCTAGATAGTAGGGCTGTCAAACAATCAAAATTTTTTTATCGTGATTAATTGCAGCTTTAATCACACTGTTAATAGAATACCAATTTAAATTTATTATAAATATTTTTGGATATTTTCTACATTTCAAAAATATTGATTTCAATTACAGTGCAGAATACGAAGGGTACAGTGCTCACTTTATATTATTTTTTATTACAAATATTTGCACTGTAAAAAAGATAAACAAGTGCAATCTACAAGTCGAAGCATGCAGGGGCATACGAATGTTTAGCTTATCTCTCACGTAAATAGCTTGCAATGTTGGCTACAACTGTGCCATGAGAATGCCTGTTCTCACTTCAGGTGACATTGTAAATAAGAAGCGTGCAGCATTATTTCCTGTAAATGTAAACAAACTTGTTTTCTTAGCTGTTGGCTGAACAAGAAGTAGGACTGAACGGACTTGTAGGCTCGAAAGTTTGACATTGTTTTTGAGTGTACTTATGTGAAAAAAATTCTACATTTGTAAGTTGCACTTTCACTTATAAAGAGATTGCACTACAGTACTTGTATGAGGTGAATTGAAAAATACTATTTATTTTATCTTTTTACAGTGCAAATATTTGTAATAAAAATAATATAACGTGAGCACTGTGCACTTTGTATTCTGTGGTGTAATTCAAATCAATATATATGAAAATGTAGAAAAACATCCATAAAGATTTATTATAAAACTGCAATTAATCACAATTAATTTTTCTAATGTAGTGAATTTTTGTTGAGGTAATCACTTGAGTTAACTGCGATTAATTGACAGCCCTACTAGATAGCAATCTTTTCAGTATATACTCTCTTCTTCTGGGGGTTAGGGCACTCATGTGAGAGACCCAGGTTTAACTCCTTTGGTTGTGTGATTTGGAGTAGAGACTTGAACCCATGTTTGCTACATTTCAGCTGAGTACCCTAAATGCAAGGCTGTTCTGGGATAGATGTCTCTTGACCTTTCCTGTTGAAGCTGGTCTACTTTATATAAATAATTAAACATTTGTTGGGCCAGAGAAAATTAGAGCTGGCCTGATGCTGTAGCCCTGTGGTTAGGGCACTGACTTAAGATATAGGAGACCTAGGTTCAAGCCCTCTAACAAACAAAGTTGAACATCCCAGCCCAGTCTTCCCTGCAGTATGGCAGACCTGGATTCAAATCCCTTCTCCCAGTACCTAAACACTAGGCTTATTGATTAGGAGAGAGGTGCCTACCTCTCAGCTAGCTAGAAAAGATCCAGATCAATGGGAGTTAGGCACCTAAATACCTTTGAGGATCTGGACCTAAGCCCCTCCCCTTGCCTCTTCATTTCACTCCCAGTTAGCTTAGTTGGCACCCTACTCAGTTAGCTGGCTTTTGAGGATCCCTTCCTCAGGTGCCTCTCTCTCCATGTGGCCCCTAAATCTGGGCTGAGGATTCCATGAGGTGGCAGGGACAGGTCTAGGCATTGCAATGCTGAGCAGAGAAATGTGTAAGTACCTTTAAGTATCAGGTCCTTACAATGCTGAGTGGAGAAATACCTTGAAAAAATCTAAATGTGATCAACTTCAGTAGTGTGATGTTTCTCTGTTATGAAAGCATGAAGGGGCTGCAAAGCCACCCTAGTGACTTCCTGGACTTAGAGGGCTCCTGGCAAGCACAGAGATGGCATGGCTATCTCAACATCCCATTTGCCACAGCCCATGAGGCAAAAGGCATATCAGGGATGTGTTGGGGGGAGGAGGGGCTATGACCAGGATGCTAGTGGTTAAAAGGGGCTCAGTCTCCCCCACTCTATTTTTCTGAGTCATGCTGCCACCTGTGCACATACCCAGATCAGCAGGTAAAGCCCCGCATCCAGTGGTGTCAGGGCCCTGGAGGGCGGTGGGGCAGAAGAAGGCCCTACCTGCAAACTTAATTCGTGGCAGATGGTGCTGGCTCCTAGCTCCTGAGTGGCACTTCCCAGAAAGGATCACTGGGATGGGGGCAAGAGTCCAGGGAGTGGGGAGATCCAGAGGAGACTGGGGAGGAAAGGAGAGTCCTGAGGGGAGCGGGGAGATCCTGAGGTGATAAGGGAAGGGAGGCCTGGAAGGAGGGGGGAGATTTGGAGGCAACTGGAGGAAGGGGAGAAGATTGTGAAAGGATTCGGGGAGAAGAAGAGTTCCTGGGGAAAGGATGGGGTGATTCTGAGGTGATGGGAGAGTCCCAGGGGAAGTGGAGTCCTGAGGGAAGGAGGGATTCTGAGATGAAGGATGGAAAGGGGTGTCCCAGGGGAGGAAGGGGAGTCCCGAGGGATGGTGAAGCTCCTGAGACCCTGTGTTCAATGGTACCAGGAGATGGGACAGGGCATGGCATCGCAGGGATATGGCCCTGCCTGCGTGTAGAGGCACATGTCAGGTGGTCCTGGCAGGTTCCTCTGAATCTGCAAGTGTTGACAGCCAACGGTCTGGAGGGGGAGCTGGGCCCAGCCCAGCCAGACAGGAGCTGCCAGTGGGGGGTGAGTGGAGGACAGGCTCAGCCCCGGCACCCCAAAGAATATTTTCACCACCCACCTATGCTAGAATATTCTTATATCTCAATTTATTCCCAGGGGTGGAAATGGGTCCACAGAGGCCTTTGCAGGTGGGGGGTGCCAGTTAAGGTGGAGGCTGCTCTTTGTAAACTGCACTGGTGTCCTGGGACTTGCCAGGGGCATTTTGGACAGGGAAGATGCAATCTCTGCTTCAAGCTCAGCTTAGGAGGATGGATGAACTGGTCCCCTAAAATCAATAGTGCCTGATCCTGATCTCACACTGATGTAATTAAACTGAAGTCAATGGAGTAAAGCTGGTGTGAGGTCTATTGGCCCAGGCCCATTGTCTTGATAAAGTCCTGTGCCACTGATTTCCTACTATGGGTTCCTTGCCCGCTCATTCACCAAAGATGGACTTTCCTGTCATGCTGAGAGTTAGGAGAGTCATTTGCCAGTCCCACCTCCCTTGTAAAAGTTTTGATTTACTATCTCACTACCAGCTCAGGTAAAAGCCCTGTCTAAAACCTGGAAATGCCCTTTAAAAGTAAATGTAAGATGGTGTTTGTTTAAAAGTCCATCCCTTTAAATTTTCTGTCGCAGACTAGAGAGGTAATCTTCTCATTGGAGTGTAAATTGGAGAAAACTGGTTTCAACGGCGTTGAAGCAGATTTTAAACTCAGACAGATGAAACAATTAAGGTAGAAACTTAAAATGGAAGGTTGGCATGCAACTCCAGGCAGATCATGAACAACAAAATCCATGAAGAATTGTTTTAGCTGTTGCGCTTAAGGAATTTCAAAATCTGTACCGCGTGAAGGTGAAAAGAATCCAATTCAGGAAAGTAACACACTTGTAATTATGCCTAAGATCTTCTAATATCTGCTCATTTGGTTACTGTACAGTAGGGAAAAAAAATCAAGCTGAAGCATTAGGTAGGCTTGCTCTGGCAAAGGAGGAACAATATGAAAATTCAAACCTTCAGGAGCAAATTTTCCTTTTGGCTACCCTAGTGTAACTGAGAGGAAAATATGGCCCATCCAGTTTAAATTCTTGAATCCTAGTGAGGCTCTGTGTTCCAACTCTAAGGGAATGTTTCTAATATGCTCAGTGAAGGGGATTCCTTGATTTGGCTGAATCTGAAAGTGCTGTCTGTGGGGAGAAGTTCTGTGCCTTTAGCAGATGATAACAGAAATAAAAAGGGAAGACTTTGTTTTTCTTATTTTAAGTAATATCAGATTTATTTTGGAAAAAATGATATTTACACAACTTGAAAAAATGACATCAGTGTCACCATGTCCATTTTGTCACTGATTCCCTGATTACTCACAGC